CGGCTGGTCGGCCGTGGCCGAACCTGGCCGATTTCCCCCCCCCCCCGGCCGCGGCCGGGCGTGCAACTTGTATGGGCAACCTTCGTTTTTCTTTCTTTTCGCGGCTGGCTTTTTCTCATATTCGCAGAGCCTGTTCGAACCGCGTAGTGCTGCTTGGGCCGAGTGTGCAGTGGTCCCACGTGCTGGAATACAAGTACATATCGGCCCCCTGCGTGTTTGAGTTTTCCAAGGGGGTGTTCAAAATGAGCGGGTGCTGCTTGGGTCGGGGCCGAGTGTGAACGGAACTCGTGCACAACACCGCTGTGTGTGTGTGTGGGTGGGTGAGAGAGAGAGAGAGGGAGAGAGAGAGAGAGAGAGGATGCACTTTGCCACCCTGTGGCGACCTGCCTGTTTTCTATTTAGGCCGAGCGTGAATGGACTCTCCGGACACGTGTGTGTGTGTGTGTGTGTGTCACAGAGAGAGAGAGAGAGAGAGAGAGAGAGAGAGAGAGAGAGAGAGAGCACTCTGCCATGTGGCACTCACACACCTGTTTAGTTTTTCGCCGAGTGCGAATAGAACTCTCCACCTCTTCACAACGCTGCTGAGAGAGAGAGGGTGCACTTCGCCGCAGCAGGCGAACCTACCTATTTCGTTTTGTTTGTGTGTTCATCCGACCTATGTCCTTTTTGTTTTTTGTTTGTTTGGTTGGGGCGAGGTCTCACTAGTCTAGAATATGGGATTTAATGCATGAATCTGGATTCTGGATGCATTTGTTTTTTGTTTGTTTGGTTGGGGCAAGGTCTAGAATATGGGATTAATGCATGAATCTGGATTCTGGACGCATTTGTGGAGAGGTGCAGAGAATTGCGATTGATTTTCTTTTGTGCATCTCTGCATTAAACAGGTTCACATTCAGGAGCTTAGTCCAACCCTCTTTGCAAGTGGGACCTTGCCCTTTCATTGGATCACACTTGGGTCTGTGTTTCAAAGGTTCATGGGCCCAACAACTGAGCCAGGCCCGTAGATACCAGTCTCTTTTTGCGGCTGACACCGGACGGACTCCCCCTCCTCCAAGCATAGAGCAAACACAACAACACACACAAACAACACACATACACACACAGACATGGTGAACATGACAGCATGTGGATGGATATATATATATATATATATATATATATATATCAGGTCGAGCGGCAGTGGTCGGGGCCGTTACTAGGCGGCCATGCTGTGCCTCTAGTGCCAGCGGCGTGTCTGGAGTGTATTTTTTGGCTGTGAC